AATAACATCAGATGTTTCCCCATCTTTAGCCTTAAAATTCAATATTTTCGTCTTCATGCCTTCTAATGGAACGAAATATCTCACTACAACCGGAAACATCTTTACGTTTCTATTGATAGAAAGTTAGTAAAGATAGTTGTTCATCAGTAGCGCACCTAGAATTTTTCTCTAGGGAGTGGGGGGTTTTGGTTGGGCACCGAAATTTTTTTTATAACTTGAGACCTTAAAATTTTTGAGTAACAGTATTGGAAAAGGGTCCTGGGGGTTAACCCCCCAAAACCCACCTGGGTGCGCCATTGGTTCATTGCATCAACCTATTGATTTTCGATGTACGGACCAAAGACATTTTTAACAATTGCCTCACATTGAGTACGAGCTGACTGAAATTTGGTAAATCCAAAGCAATTCCGAAATATTTTCGATGAGCAATCAGCTTAGCGAAAGTTTTCATTTTCCTTAATCACTTGATATGCCCAAACACCTTCCCGAGCTGCTGTCTCTAAATCAATATTGCTCGATGTTGCTGGTGCCTTGAAAAATTCAGTCAATTTTTTGCTGCTTGCCGCAAAGCTAATACCTCTTTGGTGTTTTTCACTTTTGATGTGACTCATTAAATCCGCTCTACCACCGTGGGCGATCGAAAATTCGGATCCACAAGGATCACTCTTACTTTTTTTTTTCAAAAATGAGAATTATTCTTGCAATGTCTTATTAAATGTGCAATGTCGTTTTCTCTTTTTACTTTCTTGTTCTGGTTCCATATTAACAATAGAATGTAAAGAAAAATGTCAAAAAGTCAACTAAACGATGCTTCTGATCTTCGTAGATAATCACTTATCTATTTGAGGCTTTAAACTGATTATTGACATAAAATAAATGTTTACATAAAATCATATTGCAACGCAGCAGATTTGATCTTGGTTCAAAGCACGTAACGGTTCAAAGTAATCATTACATCGTTGAATGCGGCACACCTCAGTCGGCATGATTGATGTAATACATGAATTGTTATAGTTTTTAAATAATCTTTTCGGAAGAGGATAATTAAAATACAGAAACGAAAAAAGTGAATAGTTTGAGTTGTCCTATAACATAATACCACGATAAAATGCATGCGTTTTGGATGTGGTATTAGTATTACACTCTAGAAATTTTCGACCTTTTTTCGTCCCAATTCAATTTGACGTGAATTCTTAAAAGAATAACGTATTTATAATTTCAAAATAAAATTTTACCAAAAAGTTAAAAATTCGGATGGCTCGGAAGCCTTGTCCGGGACGCCGGGTCACGATTTTGTAATTCGGGCCATGTCCTGAATTTTTCGGGCTAGTTGGTCACACTACTTATAGTAAATCAAACGTGGACAAACATTATATTATAACAAACAAATATACCACTAAAGAAACAAGGCCTTTTACAAATATCTGTTTAATATTTTGATATTAAACAGTTAGACATTGGAAAGATAGAGACAAAAATTCATGCATTTACTATTAAAACGTATATTTGTTTTTGTCCTTTACTTAATTGCGTCAATTTGAAATGCAAGTATTGCCTATTAGCGTTATTTTATTACTCGAAACAATAATAATCGATATACCTACTTGAAAAATTGTCTCTATCCTATTATACCAATAAACTAATTGACAGAATAAGTAACTCAATGCGAGTGTTGATCCTGCAATAATAGCAATGTTATTTATTTTTCTTTCAATTGGTGACCTAGGAAATGGACGCAACTCAAGTATTTGATTCGTGGATCAATTAAAAATTACGCTCGAATAGTATACACATAACATAAATTCAATAATGTCAGACAGTTCTATAAATAGATAGAAGGAGAGGATTTCAATTCGCTCATCTAGGTCAAGAAACTTTGTCAACAAAATAATTAATAATTTTATGGACTATGTAAAAAATATATAACCAATAATTTGTGTGTAGATATGTGTACTTGTGAGTATAGCTCCGATCAAAATCTACTTATTTATTTGCCTCAAAAATAGTCCAGTCGTCAGAGCTTTAACCTCTAAAAATAGTACAAACAAGCTGAATTTGGCTGAGAATGTCAATTTTAAGACCCCAAATAAGATTTAAAAAGTTTACCACTTTAACCCTCCGGCTTCTCCCTTAAATTTCCCCTTTATGAAAAAAATATTTGATATGAAAAATATAGCTGAGATAGTTTTCAACAAAAATATGTGTTAGCACTTTTTGTGTAGAATGAACCGTTTTCTAGAAACCACTCTTGGAGCCTGTGGCGCACCCAGTGAAAGATTTTTGGTGTTAAACCCCCCAGGGCAAATACAGTAAAACATATAATATAAAGAGTAATAGGAAAATGTAACTTGTTTTTCACACACAATACAAAAAATCCAAAACGCTAATTGAATAATTAAATTACCACTTTAAATATGTAGAACACAATAATTATTGTATAAATACAAAATAATTATTAATATTTTTCAGTATATCTAGATATAGATACCCAATATTAGGCTTATGACAAAAGTAGACAGAACGAGTCTGTTGCGAGTAGCATGCGCCTACAAGACTGTATCTGCGGCGGCCTTGTGGACTATCACGGTGTTCCTCTGCATGTGTAAGCAGTAGAAAAGAGACATCACTCTGCGAGAAGAGAGCATTTGACGACTCCTATAAAAAAGAGAAGAAAGGAAAAGATCAATGGAAAGATAGCAAGAAGAGTGAAACATCAAGGAAGATGTTGCCAACTGGACCAAGATGCTGATCGCGGAGCTAAGGGACTGGGTAGATTGTCTGTTTTAGGGCGTATCTTCATAGGCTCAGAAAAACTATTTTAAAAAATATGGGACATGCTATTAATCAATTGTAGGGACAATTATAGACCCAGCTCATACATCATGATAGATGAACAACAACTTGGTTTCAGAGGTCGCTGTCCTTTTTGTATGTACATGCCTTCTAAACCCGATCGTTATGGATTTAAATTAGTGATGATCTGTGACAATTCAACGAAGTATATGATTGACGCCGCCATCCCTTATCTTGGTAAGCAAGCAACAGATTTAGGGAAACCAATAGCAGACTACTTTGGTGAAAATTTAGTATCGTCAATAAATGGATCAAATCGTAATGTTACTATGGATAACTGATTTTGTAGTATACCTCTAACAACAAACTTACTTGTAAACTACAAACTTACTGTTATTGGCACTATGAAGAAGAATAAAAAAGTTTTACCCAGCGAATTTTGTGATATTCATTTTCAAGAGAGGAAACCAGTAACATCTTTATTTCTGTTTGATCAAAATATGAGCTTAGTGTCCTATAAGCCAAAAGCAAATAAACTAGTGATTTTGGTTTCCTCCTGTCATCAAGAAGCAACAATAAATGAGACCTCCAAAATGCCAGAAGTTGTAATAAATTATAACTCAACAAAAGGAGGAGTAGACTCATTTGATCAGGTGTGCCATAATATGAATTGCAACAGAAAAAACTAGAAAATGGTGGCTGTGTTTCTTTTATAACATGATTAGCATTGCATGCATTAATGGTTATGTAATTTATGTTCATAATTTTTACAGAGCTAATAAAAATGACAAGCCTTTACGTAGATTTGAATTTATGTTACAACTAAGTAAGAACTTAACACAGCAATGGCAGAAGCAGAGACTGGCGATTCCAACTCTAAGCCGTCAGTTGAGAACAACCATTACTGATGTATCCGGAGGAAAAACAGAGCAGCCATTCATCTCAGACGAGGCTGCGGAAGCATCTAGAAAGTACTGTTATCTCTGTTTATATTATAATAAAGGGATGACAAAATTAGATTGCCTCATAAGCAAAAAGCGCATTTGTGGTGAGCATCAAAATAAGAAATATCCACAGTGTTGAAAAACTGTGAAGAATTTTCCACATCAAGCAAGAAGTCTGTTTATTTTTTTAAGGTACCTACTGTATTTTTTATTATAAAGATTAGCGTGTGTTTTTTTAATAAATCTTAAAACAAACTATTTTCCATTTTTAACCATTACACCTAAAATTTACATTTGCCTGGCAACAAGCGACCACCGGGTAACGGTAGCAATCTAGGGTTATGTATCCTCCGAATAAAAGAAAAATTTTTCAACACAGTATGCCTGGTCAACGTACATGCGTTAATCGAAAATTATTATGTCTGAGTGAGGTTTAAATTTTCTTCCTTTCAAATGTAATCTATTTACACCTTGATTATTTTTACGTTTTTATCTTAAGGCAACTGTGGTGATTTGTATTAAATATTTGTTTATTGAACAAAATTTACAGTTTTTCTTTTTTTCATTGCGCTCGCATTTCTTATTACATTTTTCTCTATCTTTATTTTACATTGAAATTCTCCGTTAGTATTTCATGTTTATCAGTTTCTAATTTAAAATAGAAGAGAATATAAACAAAACTTTTAAACAAGAAAAGTGTTGAAAATTTGAGCCACTTTTTGAGCCACCATGTTCCTCAAGTGCTACTAAGGCTGCAATAATATTCGGAATAAAGTCTGAATAAAATTATGTATCATTTATAGTTCGAAGGTGATAAAGTGTTTTTACTAATATCTCTAAATCCCATTTTGTTTATCGCTGCAGCATAAAAAGTACTGAGCCCCAGCAAGAAAAGATTAAATTTTACCAGTACTCCACAAAAAATAACTAAAATATTTGTAAAACACAATATAGAAATAATAAAAAGATCCACTTCAACAATTTTAACGAACCTTGTAAATTGAAATTTTGCAGTATACCGGAAGAAAATAAAAAAGGCGATTGTTGTATTATGTTTATATAAAATATTATTCGAGGTCCTACAACGAAGTTATACAAAAATTTTAATAATCTGTTAGTTTACACTATTATTTTCGTATAGTACTTTCCTTAAGATATTTTCAATGGTTAATTAAAAATTACATTAGTTTTGTTTTGGGGTATAGAAAATGGCCTGTAAAATTCAATTAAATTTAATACAATATATTCCAAAGCAATACTCACATTGTAGTATTCTTCAGGGTACATTTGGTATCCGACAGTTAACATTCCAGAAACACTTAGTTGTGATGTCGAAGATCTAAGTAACGATTTTGTGACTGTGTGATTGCAATCAATAATAGCTGTTATGGAGTCTCCTTTAATGCTGAATGCTATTCTGTGCCACCTGTAAAAATTAATATAATTTTAAATATTATAAATCAACAACGCTTAAAGACAAATATTATTATATTTATGATATTATTATAAATATATATATATATATATATATATATATATATATATATATATATATATATATTTTTTTTTTTTTTTTTTGAACCTATTCTCTATCCTTCCATTGTTGTATATAGGTTTCCCCCAGTTCTCTCCATCTTTCCCTATCTTGAGCTGTTCTCTGCCATGTGGGACCTCCTTGTTTCCTGATGTCATCTTTCCACCTCATCTGTGGTCTGCCTCTTGATCTCTTTGCATTGTATGGACGCCACTTTCCGATGGCATTGTTCCATCGTCCGTCTTGCAGACGTTCATTGTGTCCAGCCCATTTCCATTTCAGTTTTGCTGCTTGTTCTATCGCGTCTACTGTCTTTGTTCTGGTTCTGATCCACTGGTTACGTTTTCTATCTCTAAGTGATACACCCAACATTTATCTCTCCATCGCTCTTTGTGCCTTCCTTATCCTATCCAAATTGGCCTGTGTAAATGTCCATGTCTGTGCTCCGTAGGTGAGCACCGGTATGAGACAGGAGTTATATACCTTGCTTCGTAAGTATAGAGGGATTGTTTGATTTTTTAGAACGTAAGAAAGTTTGCTGAACGCTGCCTATCCCATTCTTACTCGTCTCGATATTTTGGCTGTTTGATTTTCTCTATTAGCTCTGATTGCTTGTCCTAGATAGATATACTCATTTACCTGTTCTATTTTTTCTGTTTTTATTTTTATTGCCTCTTGGTCTTCCGTGTTTGTCATTACTTTTGTTTTGTTGAAGTTAATTTTTAGGCCTTTTTGCAGTGATTTTTCATGAAGTTCATTCAGCATTAATTTCAGTTCTTGTCGTTCCGAGGAGATCAGGAGTATATCATCCGCATATCTAAGGTGATTTAGGTATTTTCCGTTAATACATATTCCTCTGTTTTCCCAATCTGTTGATTTTATTATGTCCGTATTTGTATTTTATTATGTATTTTATTATGTGTTAAGGTAAACAGTTTAGGTGAAATTATATCGCCTTGTCGGACTCCTCGTTTAACTTTTATATTATCCGTTATTAATTTGTCGTCCAGAATTACGGTCATGGTTGCGTTTTGGTAAATATCATGTATCAATTGTCGGTATCTTGAATCTATTCTACTATTGACCAGAGCTTCTTCAACCGCCCAGTGTTCAATGCTGTCGAAAGCCTTTTCATAATCTACGAATGCTAAGTACAGCGGAAGGTTGTATTCATTGGTTTTCTCAATTAAGATTTTAAGCGTATGTAGATGGTCGATTGTGCTGTATCCTTTTCTGAATCCGGCCTGTTCCACTGGTTGGTAGTTATCAAGTTTATAGGTTAGTCGGTTGTTTACTATTCTTGTGAAGGTTTTATAAAGTTGTGACAAAAGGGAAATAGGACGGTAGTTGTTTAGGTCTGTTCGGTCTCCTTTCTTATGTATTAAGATTGTGTTGGCATTTCTTCATTGTTTGGGTATTTTACCTTCAACATTTGTTGAACAGTATTTTTAGAATTTTTTTTATCGTGTCTCCTCCTTCTTTTAGCAGTTCCGCCAGTATTTTGTCCTCACCGGCCGCTTTATTTCTTTTCATGTTGTTTATGGATTTTTCGATTTCATCTTCAGTTATTTCTGGTAATACCTCTGAGCCAACATTTTATATTTTCCTCGTGAGATTCTGTTTAGATGATAGTGGTGTTTTCTTTCTTTCTTTATCTGTTTTCTTATGGTTTTATTCAGTTCGGTATACTCCACTGTATTTCTTTTGTTATCGTTCAGTAGTTGTCGTCGTTTTTTAGCATATCTTGTGATTTAGCGCTAATTTTTTGTTGTTTTCGCTTTTGTTTATTAGCAATCTTCAGGCCTGCTTCTAGTAGTTCTGTTGTTATTTTATCGTTTAATTCGTCTAGTTGCAGACCCTTTAGCTGTGATATGTCACTTCTTTTTAGCTGGTTTATGTATTGTTCTTTGCGTTCTTTAAGAAGTTCTGTATCTATCTCTTTTTTAGATGGTTTAAATTTTTGTCTGTCTGTTGTGGAGTTAATTTTGATTTTGGCTCTAACAATTCTGTGATCACTTCCTACGGAAATCATGTTTATGACCGTAACGTCTTGTACTATGCTCTTTTCTTTGGATAGGATGTAATCAATCTCATTTTTTGTTAAACCATTGGGCGCGACCCACGTCCATTTTCTCTGTGGTTTTTTATTGAAAAAGGTATTCATCGCATATAGACCGTTCGTTTCCATATAATTCATTAATGTTTCTCCTCTTTTGTTTCGTGTTCCATATCCAAAGTTGCCGATTTTATTTTCTGATTCTTCTAGTTTTCTCCCTAATTTGGTCGCCTATAATGATTGTGTAGGTGCTTTTGTATTTGTTCACTGTTTGTGTCAATGATTCGTAGAATATATCCACTTCTTCATCCGTATGTGATGATGTAGGGGCGTAAATTTGTATGATCTTTAAACTTATATTTTTATTTATGTCCATTATTAGAGCCGCAATCCTTTCTGAAATTCCAATATATTGTCTAATATCATGGACATGCTGATTAGAAATAAGAAAACCGACACCAGCTAATGATTCTTCTTGAGCTCCTTTATAGATTAGTAGTATATCCTTTATAGTATATATATATATATATATATATATATATATATATATTATATATATTATATTTATGATTAATCAATATAAGCTGATGTGAATAAATATAACATTGTAGAAGACAACACTTTTATTTTTTGTATATACTAAAACATGTAAATTAGCACAGATCTTGTAAGATTTAACCTTCTAGCAAAAAATGTAAAAAATAATGAACGATGAGTATTAAATGAATAAAAAATGAGAGAAATAGGTATCAACACAATCCATAAGCTATGTGTCAAGATTTTACAGCATAGTGAGTGTCCAAAGGAATGGTGTGAGTTAATTTCCACATCTGTCTAAAAAAAAACGGCTCACCTACAGACTAGCAACTACAAAACAATAGCTCATATGCCGCATACAAGAAATATTCTTTTTCACATTGTACGGGACCGCAAAATGTTTCTAGTTCCCACAAATATCTGATAAACAAATATGGTTTATGACTAGAAAAGTAACGAGAAATCTAATTACAAATTTCTGACAAAAAAAATGTATATGAATTTAATGTTAAAACCTTCGACCACAATACTAAAGAAATTATTTGCGTGAGGTGGAAAGGGCCATGGTTTGTCTTGAAAAATATGGAAGTACCAAAAAACATCTAAGTGTACACCTACATTGGAACCGTATTTCTCCCGATCCGATATCGGGCGACGTCGGCCGACGTCGGATTGAAAACAAACTCAAGGTATTAAATCATAAAAATCCACTAGGAAACTAAGTTCCTGTAGCTGGCTGTATACCATATATCACAAAAAATTTATTTCAAATCCTTTTTAAAAGGTATATAATAAAATGCCCAAACGGGCTATCACAATTATATTACAAAACGTTTTCGGCTTGTTAAATCCATCATCAGTGTAAACGAGGTATACATGCTATGAGCCACCAAAATATATGGGTCAAAACCCTTTAAATGATCTAAATTTACAGTTGTTTTACATTATATATGGTTACAAATTATGATGTTTAAGTTACCGTTAGAATTGGTAACATGGCGACGTATGACTCTACATAGGTAAAATGGTGATGAGACGAAGTATCTTCGAGGACCTGTTGATAACAACTCAGTTCAACAACAACAACTCAGTCAACGCAAATAATGCCTCTATTATACCCATGCTATCTCTGAAGCCAAACTGCGTTTCATCTATCTGCTCGTCACATTTCTTATAAATTCGGTTTTGAACAATTTTTAAAGCTTTTAACAGTTCAACTAAAATTTGATCAGGACCCGGTGCTTTTCCTTGTTTTGCATTATGTAGGGCATGCCTTACTTCTGAGGGTAAAATTTGTAGGAATTGTTCTTCTTCACCCATATCTTGTTTATTTTCCATCTCGTCATGGAACATATGAAAGAGAGAAACATATGATATATTGTTCCCATACTACCTTTATTTTGCTCTCTTCAGTAAGTATTCCTCCATTATTATCTCTTGTTACGAGTGTTCTTCTTTGTCTGGTGTTGCTTGTAAGTTCTTTCATTTTTTATGTAAGTTCGTGGTATCATGTTTTTGCTGAGTTCTTCCAGTTCCTGGCATTACTTGTTCATCAATTCCTCCTTAGCCTTTCTGATTTCATATTTGATTTTATTATTGATGGTTTTATATTTATTTCCATCTTTATTTTTGTATTTTTGTTTTTGAACATGTAATAACCGCCAAATATCAAGCACTTCTCCGATTCCTATTGCAGTTTTTTTTGTCGGTATTACTAAGTTGCGCTTCTATTTACGATACTATAAAATTTTCCATAGTTTCTGCTTGTATTAAAAGGAGCTTTAAACGAATTTCTTAATTTACTTGATAATTTTGCCCCATTTCTGTGGTAAATACAGATTGAAATAAAAACTAGAAATTCGTATTCAATTTTAAACTCAAAAGCTTTTAATTTCAACTTGCACTCCATAAAATGTTTGTGTAAATAATCTTTTCGTTTAAGTTGCAGTTATTAATTTAAAATTTAGGATACACAGAGAAGTATAAGCTTAAATGAGGTTGTAGTAAACATTCAATCCGTTTAACTATATAAAATATTCAAACACAAGTTTTAAAATGAGGTTTGAAGATATACAGTGAGTCGTGTAACATTAAACGGGATATTGTTGCGTTCTAATTTAAGATAAAGTATCGTCGGAGCGGGATAAGTATTTATAAAATTATACTTATCCGCTGGACGTTTTAAAGTGGCATTGTCTTGAAAAAGACAAATGCCTAAGGGTTATTTATTATAAGGAATAAAACAACCATTTCTAAGTAGAAAAAAACTCAGCTTCAGAGTCTTTTTAAACCTTTTGCA